ATGTTAAAAAAAAACTTTAAAAACAAAAGGAAAGTGAATGAAGGTGGTCTTTAGTATTTTCAGTCACTAACACTACTTTGAAATACAAATAGCTGAAAACCATTTCCTTCATTACTTACAGTACCTGCCAAGACGGGAGATCAAATGTTCCAGGGGAAATGCAAAAACTCAATGACATCATCAGTACTTAAAGCAATACACAATCTGCAGCTTTAGCAGCTCCTGGTTCTTTATTAAGTGTTAACATTAAAAAAAAAAAAAAAAATCCTGAACTTGGACTTAAAAAGCTTACATACTTGGGTTCAAGAACACAATTATTTAAAGACTGTGAAGTTGATATAACAGAAAATTCTGGTCTACTAGCACAAAGGAGATCCATAAACACAATGACTACTTCCTTAGCAATACTGCTCTAATGTGGCATAATTGTTAAAACTAAATCTGGCTTTTCAAAAAAGATATTTGAGGAAGGTGTTGGGAAAGAATGATGGAGAATCCACTATTTCAACGTGATCTAAATATTTCCTTGAGACTTAATTGTTGTTACTTTCCTTACTACTGATTTCCTCCCAAAACCTCATAAAGAGAAACCATAACCTAAATTCAGAGCAGTCCTAGACATTTAATATTAAACAACTCAACAGGAAAGGGTAAGATTAGAACTACATGATCAGAACCTAGAACCAAAAGATTGAGGGTAAAGAAGTTACCAAATGTTAGTAATTGGGCAAGCTTCTTTCAGTCCTCAATATATTTTGTACTCCCTTAAACTTCCAAGTTCCTCCTTTTGGGGGGGGGGGTGGAGGAGTGGGGGAGGTGTTGTTCTTATCATAAATACCAAATAAAATGGGCATTTCCACATCCATAATAGAGCTGAAAAAGCAGACCGTACCTGAAACTGTGAAGCTTCATTACATACAGCTTGCTTTTCTCTTATAAATATATAATAAATTCAATATGTACCTTTCAAGGCTGTCCTGCTTGTCTTTGATGCTTTTGGGTCTCCTGTCTGCTCTCTTCCATGCATTTTTCTAACTGCTTCAATGATATTCTTTTCTTACTTTCTTTTCTTTTTCTTTGTAGAGTCTGCCCTATCCCATTCCCCCTAACTGGAAAAAAAAGAAAGAAAGAAAGAGAAAGAAAGAGAGAGAGAGAGAGAGAGAGAGAGAGAGAGAGAGAGAGAGAGAGGAAGGAAGGAAGGAAGGAAGGAAGGAAGGAAGGAAGGAAGGAAGGAAGGGAAAGGCAGAAAGAGAAAGGAAAAGAAAGAAAGAAAAGAGGGAAGGAAGGAAGAAAACCCCTTTTAACTAATATACAGAGTTGAGGAAAACAACATTGACTCCGACATTGACTCTGTCTGGAAATATATTTCATATTCTGCATCTTGAGTCCACCAAGACCTCTTTGTCAGGAGGTAAGTAATATACTTCATCATCAGTTGTCTAGAAGAACTACAGCTGGTGGCTGCACAGATCAAACTTCTGAAGTCTTTCAAAGCTATTTTTCTTCATAATGTTGTTATTAGGTAAACTGTTTTTCCTGATTCTCCTCATTTGACTCTGTATCAATTCACATAAATCTTACCAGGTTTCTCTGAAATTGTCCCATGAATAATTTCTTATGGTGCAGTAATGTAATTCCATTACATTCGTAACTCGTTCAGCTATTCCCCAACTAATGGACATCCCCTTAGTTTCCAGTTCTTTGCCATACCAAAAAGAGCTGCTAGAAATATTTCTGGGTCCTTTTCCTCTTTCTTTGCTCTCTTTGTGATATGTTTCACTAGGTCAAAGGGTATACACAGGTTAATCAGCCAAGTCTTCTCCCTCTACTACCAAAAGAAGGTTGTAACTCAGACCTGAAATGGCTTAACTTAGGCTACCGGCTATTATTGAAAGAAAATGAGTATCCCATCCCCTGAATCTTATTACAGCAACAATAACTCCACTGAAGTCTGCACCAACTGGAAATGGAGTTCAGACTGTGTTCAGGGTTCAGTGCAACTCAGCTGCCAGCAATGGCCTCCTCTCTGAAATGGTATACCTTTCCTAGAATAAGTCAACAGTCAGGCTTTCTTAAATGAAAATCTTTCAATGCAAAGGATATTACCAACTGCCTGGGTCATCATTACAAATAAAGTAGTGAAACCTGCAACAAGTCATATCTACTCCAAAAACAAGAAAGTTCATCAGAAGCCTCATCAATGTGTAAAACTGTGAGCTGCCCTCAAATCAACCACAGCAGAATCCAGCAGATTCCTTTGTAATACTCAAAAATGTTCTCCCTATATATGTTCATTGATTTTATACTTTGAAATGTTTGTTATATATCTGTATTTCAATATACTAACCCTGGGATAACAAAGCACAAAATTAAGTCTTAATTTTTCATAGTGAGTTTCAAAAAACACATTTTTGAAAGTACCCTGAAAAGTCATAAAATCACAAATCCATGCAAGTCTTGACAATGATAAAAAAAAAAAGTTGAAGGAACTGCCATCAGCCTGCATCCCCATGCCCCCAAATCTCCCATACAACCCGAAATGTTTTCACTTCACTTAACTATATACATCCTGAAATTTCACCAATTAAAGATTAATTTGGGTTAACAAACATCCTTTTTTAATTTTGCAAATGCCTCAAGGAGGCAGGGATATGTGGCTATACAATCATTCACATGTTAGTGTGACAATTCAATCCAATTGCTTTCCTCTAATCAGGAGACATCAACTAATCAGGAAGGAAAGGAAACTTTAACTATGGCAACTGGACTCTGGGGAAGTTAAAAGATGGCCTTGGCTTCTGGAGTAGGCACAGCATAAATTAATGCCCAAAAAGTGAGGTACCAAGGAGAAATGTTGACCTGTTTCAAACACTTGACAAGCAAATGAGTGCTACGGGTAAGAGTTGGAAACTCCTCTTCCCTATGTACTACATGGTGCCCCTCAAACCAAGCAATTAAGTATCTTTGCCACTATGAGTCTAGGAACCTAAGGATCACAACACTGGTTAAGAGATCCAGAGACTGCTTTCATACATCATTTCAATGTAAAAAAATAATTCTGTTGGACAATTTTGATTTTAAAAACTTCAAGGGGCAGCTAAATGGCGCAGTGGATTGAACACCAGCCCTGAAGTCAGGAGGACCTGAGTTCAAATCCAGCCCTGGACCAAACACTTGACACGTATTAGCTGTGTGACCTTGGGCAAGTCACTTAACCCCAATTGCCTCACCAAAAAAAAAAAACAACAAAAAACAAAAAAAACCAAAACTTCAAAAAGTTATCTTTCAACCTTAATTCACAAGAGTTCAATACATCAACAACAAATGCCCATTATGTGCTTACTACGTTCAAGGCTCTGGAATTAATCATGCAAAAACAATACAAAAAAATTGTCCCTACCCTAAAGAAGCTTACATTTTACTTGATTACAACTTCAAAGCAAATAACCTGTCCATCAAAAAATGAAATATCCCAGAAGTTATTTTCCCAACACAAATAATTAGAAAGTGAAATTAAAAACCTTCTTGTAAATTTTATGTACTGGAAATATAAAACTAATCTCAAAAATGTTTCCTAAAAGTGAAAATATTTCCAGCAACATTTCTTAACTCCTTTGAAAACACAGTAGCAGGTATAAAAGACTGTTAAAGTCATTCTGCTAAGGTAAAAAAACATTCTGAGGCAGTGAATATCATCCAATGATAAAAGACACCATCCAAAGCCAGAACCTAAGTTAGAGCATATTTTTTTTTTTTTATTTCACTGCTCAGATAACACTTCTAAGTAGAAAAAATCCTTTGGTCCCTCTCTTTACACTTTCTTTACACCTTTGGTGGTTGCTGAGACGTAATCTGATTGATCATGGCATTCTTATACATCAAATATGAACATGTTTTTCAGTTTTCAGTGCAAATTTCTAGAAAATTTCCGTTTTCTGAAGTTCCCCGCCGAAGATGCACCAGCCAAGTTCTGCCAGCTGCATAACAGGTGAACACAAAGGGACTGACTGCCTGCACCTCAACATACAACCCTGGCACTTGGGTTCAAGAATAACGATCTTTCAAATCTCTGCCCAGATGAATTCTTTTGACTTTGACCTCACAGTATGCATACTAAGAGGCCGACAACCTAAACAAAAAGTTAATCTTGAAGACGAACTCTGGGCACTGAAGGATTCAACAAGCAAACTTGGATACTCCTTCCCTCCCCCCCAAACTCAGACAGCCTCTGCCATAGAAGGAATGAAAATAAGTGGGGCCCACACAAAGTGGCTCCGATTGCAGAGGCCAGACAGAGGAACTAGGTGATTTCAGGGGGGGCCAGTCACGTCTGAAGTGAGGGGAAGGGGGAGCCTGAGAAGGAAACCTGGAAGGAAACAGAATGAAGAGGCTTTGGGGAGGGGAGACACACAGGAGGACAATGGAGGTCTGGCTTCACGGACCAGCTAAAATTAAGCGGGGCGGGGGGG